ACTATCTTAAGGATGAGGATTTATTAAAAGAATCTTATTCAAATTTAAGTATTAATTCTTCAATTGAAAATGACAAAATAAAAACTGCTGAAATTATTGATGAAAAATATAATGATTCTTTATTTGATATTATATTTAATTATTTATTTTATTTTCATTTGATTTTATTAAACAATTATTAATTGAAGAACATCATATTATTGAATATGAACTTGAATATGGATTTTTACGTTTATCATCTCAAACAAGACAAAGACTTAATATTGAAGTTTTACTACTTAGATTAGGTAAAAAAAGAAAAAGCAAAACAATTCGAATTATTTTTATCTTAAAAATTTATTTTATTATAAGATTTGACAAATAATAGATGTTTTGATGGTGGTGTAAATCGATGTTATGCTTGATCAATTTCTTGGATATCAAGATATTCTTATGTCGATTATAAAGCAATTAGCAGAAAAAGAAGATCATTAAGGTAGAAATTATAATTGTTTTTCTTTTTTAATAAAGTAAGTTAAAAATAAACATTATTTGTTAGGTTATGTTCGAAATGTAATGACAAATGATCATATTCGTTTTTGTCAATTGATCATCAAATCATCGATGGTCGACATATTTAGCTGATTTATTTTTTATGATTCTATTTCTATGTTAAATTATTTATTAAAAAACATTCTTACATCTTTATTTTTATATATAGACAATATATAAAAATGACTATTCGTTTCATACGATTTTTCGTTAATATATATATGTGACTCGCTTCGTATCGCATTTTGCATTTGAGTTTCGTGGTTTTTGTTGCAATATGTAGTATAAATGAAAAATATTCCATTGTCTCAACGTATTCTTTTTTATTGAAACAATTCATAACAAAGGAAAATATTCATGAAAATTTTTTGGACGAACAAATGGTTGATTTATACCTAGACTTTTCAATTTACTGAAATTGAAATCCTTTACATTATTAATAAAATTGTTTGTTATCCTTATGAGTGATGTGTATCAGACATTGGATACTTAGTACAATACTTAGTACTTTTCGTACTTAGTACGCAGAAATCTTAAGTACCAGTACGTATTTTGAAGTAAAAGTACATGTACTTTTTACTTAAAAATTGTACTTTGTACTTGTACTTAAGTACAATGTACTTAAGTACAATGTACTAAGTACACCGTACTACAGTACAATTGTACTTAGTACCGGTACTTAGTACATTTGTACTTAGTACCGATGCTCTCTGTCTACCCTTTTCGAGAACATTACTTGGTGGGTTTCTCATTTTGATTACTTTTTCGTTTCATACGATTATAAGTGTTTCTTCTCTATAAAAAGAAGAGGTGTTATAGGAATGGTTTTTTCCATTGCTTCGTGGACCATTCTTAGTCGCCAGAATTCATATTAAAACTAAAGAAAATGCAGTGGAAATGTTTGTAACATTTTTCCAGTTCTCATCGTACTGGCTAGAACTGAAAAAGACTTGAGAAAAAAGTATCTAAACTCGAATTCACAAAGACTTCCATATATAGCATCTTTACTTTTCAGAGCTATCTGCTTTACATTTTAGTAGTCTTAAACTAAGCTCAACCTAAACAAAAAGTTGTCAGCACAATCTCTTCGATGCTCGAATGTGCAGTGCACATGTCCTTTGGGTGTGGATGGGTGTGTGGGTGTGGATGTGGGTGAGGTGCGGGTGTGGGTGTGGGTGTGGGTGTACTGCGTGTGAGGACAATACACGCATTTACACCTACACCCGCATCCATTGTAACCAAACAGATTGTAGATGTGTTTCTGATATCTCTTTTACGAATTTACTATTACTCATTACAGGTTACAAAACTGGAAATTATATTGATTTTGATACCAAAAGATATAAAAGTCTACTAATGCTCATGTAAACTTTCATCTTCTTTTTAATACAGATGTCATTTGATTACGAAAGTGATTTTTGTCGGTAGAAAAATATGTAGCGAAGCGAGACTTGTACTTTTACTTAAGTACATTGTACTTAAGTACAATATACTTAAGTACAATGTACTTAAGTACAATTTACTAAGTACGCGGTACTTAAGTACATTGTACTAAGTACAATGTACTTAAGTACCGCGTACTTAGTACAATGTACTTAAGTACATTGTACTTAAGTAAAAGTACAAAGTACAATTTTTAAGTACACCGTACTTGTACTGGTACTTACTGTACTGGTACTGGTCCAATGTCTGGTAACAATAATAGCTACATGTGAACCAGAAATAGCTTTAAACACACGATCTTCAATTATTAATTTCATTTGATCAGCAGATAATTTATTATCAATTAGGTTGTGATCGTGAATTTGCATCTTCTCTTCACCCACCGACAAACAAAGTCAACACTTCTTCATTCGATTAAAAAAATCAACAATGTCTCAATGCAGAGCAACAAAATGTCTTCTCTCGATCAATATCACAGGTTCTAGCAACTCTTATTCGTTACTCCATATGTCGTTTAAAGATTACAAATGGTATATTTTTATTTTAAGAAAAAGCATGAAAGTCATTAACTGAGACATACGATTATCATAAGATTTAAGTTCAACCACAAGCCATATACCGAATCAACATTCATGATCTTCCCCGCTGTTGATTACGCTTAATGAGTTTCCATATACGATTTGAAAGGCTTCGCCCGACTTGGTTCGAAGTCAGATCTAGTGTGGTGAGCGTCTATAAGCAAAAAAGTATAGATAAGCATGGGAAACAGATCCAAAGAGAATGAGGGTTACCGTATTCCTTTCTAATGCATCAGCCAGATATTCTGCTCCGCTATTTCCAATTTCATTCGATTCGAGATGCAGTGTGATGAGTGTCTGCGTGAAATCTTGAAGATACATATGTAGAAAAAAAACATGAGTATTACCGTATTCCATTCTAATCCATAGCTCAGATAAAATGCTCCGCTATTTCGAATATCATTCGATTTGAGATGCAGTGTGGTGAGTGCCTGCATATCACCCCGGAGGGGTTTTGAAGGGTAGGTGTTCGGTGAATAAAATTTTATTCACCGAACACCTACCCTTCAAAACCCGTCCGGGGTGATATGTGTGAAATCTTGAAGATGCAATATATGGAAAAAAATTAATGTTACCGTATTCTTTTCTAATACATAGTCCAGATATAGCGCCCCGCCATCTCCAATTTCATTTGAATCGAGATACAGTGTCGTGAGTGTCTGTGTGAAATCTTGAAGATGCATATATGGAAAAAAATGAATATTACCGTATTCTCTTCTAATGCATAGCCCAGATATAGTGCTCCACTACTTCCAATTCCATTTAATTCGAGATGCAATGTGGTGAGCACCTGTGTGAAAATGTGGAGATACATATATATTAGAAAAAATGAATATTACCGTGTTATTTTTTAATGCATCAGCCAGATATTGTGCTCCACGATCTCCGAGTTTATTGCCTGTGAGATATAGTGTGGTGATTGTCTGTATGAAAAAATACAAATGGGAAGGGAATATAAGAAAGATGGAGAGAGAAGAAGAATTACTGTATTATTTTGTAATGCATTAGTCAGCTGTTTTACTTCTTTGTATTTCATTTGCTTCCATTTCAGGTCCAGTATGGTGAATGTCTGTGTGAAAATTTGAAGATTGTGGTATGATTTTATTGAAATCGAGTAACAGAGTAGGAAAGATAGAACTAATTAACATGCTGGAGCATAGGGACCATGTTAGCTATGGAAGTCGAAAATTTGTGAATATCTCGAAAGCGACGAGTTTTGATGAATACTGAGTATACAGAGTTGGTGTATTGAAAGTTTTCGAAAGTGGCTCTAAGATGCAGTTTGATAAGACGTAGTATTATAGGGTGCTATTGGGAAAACAAAAGACACTTAAAAGATCAAGTATTATGTACTATTTATGATGAACGTGGGTTCTTATTATTGTAGTTAAATATTCTTGGTCTGATAACGAATTGAGTTTGCACAAGCGGAATTAAAAGAGTATTGAATCACACGATTTGAATGTGTTACGAACACTAGGATATTTTAAATTCTAATGTCACTTGAACGTGATCAAGTACTCAAATAGGTTACATTGAGAAGTCAAAACGATGCATCTGTTTGGAAATATAATTCTTTCATTGATAAAGATAATTTCCATAAGAAAGCAAAAGTATTTATTTAATTGAACTTTTTCTCATGTTGTAGTATTATGAATTATTTCTAAACACGGTTATTTTAATCAAAAAAAAAACTTTACCGTGTGATTGCATGACACTAAAACTAATGAACAATTATCTTCAAGCTTTACAAATTTAATGTCAGTCGCTTCTATTCTAATATTTTATAAAAATATTCTTATATTTGCTTTTTTCTATCTTGCAAATTCTAACAATCAGTATTTTTTATCGCAGCGATGGTGCTCAAAGTTCCATTTAATCAAGAATAAAGCAGCGCCTTTAGTTCGATTCATTACTTTATCAAAAGTGAAATAAAGTCTAGTTTGTACTTAAATTCACAACTTTGTTGTAACTAGATAGCATCCTATGTAATTCGTTGAAATTCTTCAACATATATTGTACAGATGGGAATTCATATTGGTAAACAACAATTTATTCAGGAATCGATGTATCCAGAAACGGATATTACTCTTTTCGTTCTATATGCTATTCTATTTGTTGCTTATTTTTATTTTTCAAAGTATCGACATTGGTCCAGCTTATACTACTTTCGATCATTTCGATAATAAAAGGTGTTCGAGTATTCTAATAAAATGACAAGAGTGATTATGGAGATTCATTCCTTAGTTATTTTTTTTTCTATAAACGAAATACAGTTCAGATAAGCTTTGTTCTAATTTTGACTAGACTGCATAACTGAAATGTGGCCCGTTTCGACGCTTCTTAGACAAATGAACATAAGAAAAGAATAACAGTTTAGAAGCTACCATCAATTTTGCTTGTAGTCAATGTTAAAACAAGTGCGCATTTCGAATATTAAATTAAGTGATGCACATATGTTTAATAATTTACCGAACCTTGTTAAAAATTCAAATACGTTTTTTTTATAAAACTATTTATAATCTTATAGCTTTCTTTAATTATGATGATGTTCGATAACATAGAACGATATTACATTCTCAATGTATGATACAAGCAACATCATATACTAATCATCTTAATATATCTAACTTATCTGTTTCACTTATAACTTTGTTTTTTTTGGAATTCATCGACATTTTTAGACTTTTATAATAAAAATATTTCAGCTAACTCTTTCTGGTGATTAATGTTCTCTCACACAATTTAGATAAATTTACTTTCTCGATGAAATTTTGATATATAAAACATAAAATAAGCCTTTTTTTTATAGATCTACGAATAAAGAACATATAGGAAACATTTTATACGAT